GGTGCTGCTAGGAGTGCTGAGCCTGCGGGTGCGGGGTCTGGGGGTGCTGAGCCTGGGGGTGCGGAGCCTGGGGTTGCTGAGTCTGGGGGTGCTGAGCCTGAGGGTGCTGGGCCTGCTCGTGTGGAGTCTGGCGGTGCTGGGCCTGGAGGTCCTTCGGGTGCTTCGTCCCGGCGGGAGCTACCCTCTCCACAGGAGCTGCGCGAGTGGTTTGCTCGGCGCTGGAGCCGTGCTGCCGGAGCTGGAGGTTCTACTGCTGCTGGGGGTGCTGGAGACACGGGTCCCGGAGGTGCTCGTACTGGAGGTACTGGAGCTGCTGGGCCTGGGGGTGCTCCTGGTGTTGGAGCTGCTGGCGGTACTGGAGCTGGCGGTGCTGCTGGAGTGGGTGCTACTGGAGGTGCTGGAGCTGGAGCTGCTGAGTCTTCCGGTGGTCCTGCTGGAGGTGTAGCTGCTGGAGGTGCTGGAGCTGGAGGTGCTGCTGGCGCCAGTGCTCCTGTGGGTGCTGGCGTTGCTACTCCTGGAGCTGGTGGAGCTGCTGGAGTAGGAGCCGACCCTGGGGGTGCTGGTGCTGTCCCTGCTGGTTCTGGAGGTGCTGCGCGGCCACGGCCGTACTTCGTTCCGCTCCTTGAGAAGGTTCTTGGTCTTCCGCCCTCTACTGGTCCTGCTCCTTCCTTAGAGTGTCCACTGCCTGTCCAGTCCGAGTCACAGTTACAGCCCGCCACCCCACTGCCTGCTCCTTCTCCTTACACTGGTCCTACTGGAGGTCTTGCTGAGCGTCGTGAGCCTGCGTCTCGTCCTGCGTCGCCTGTTCGTGCTGCTCGCACTGGTCGTCGTGTTCCACGTCAGCGTCCTCCTGCGGTCCCAGGCACGCACCAGATGGCACTGCGTCCTTCCACTGCTCCACTGCGTGTCCCTTTGCCGTCTCCTTTTAGAGTCGTCTCTTCCTGCTCTCGCTGACCCGGAGTCTGACTCTCTTCGTGCTGCCAGTCCTACTGTCACGCGTCTCCTGGCTACTCTTGTCACTGACCCTTCCTTTGAGTCCACTTCTGCGTCTGCCTTAGTTGCTGAGCTTGTCGACTTCGCTGCTCACTGTCGTCTAGACTACACTGCTAGTCTTGTTGCTGAGTCTGAGTCTGTCTGTCCTCCGTCCGTCGGGGGTGAGTGTGCTCTTAGCACGGACGTCCTTGAGGACAGGCAGGAGGAGTTCCAGTATTTTGCTGCTGCTTTACCTCATCTCGTGTCCATGCTGATTGCCCCTGAGGGAGACCCGGATGCACCAGACATCCCAACTCCGCGCTCTTACGCAGAGGCGATAGAGGGTCCCTACTCCTCTCAGTGGTAGTCAGCCATGGACGCAGAGATGGCTTCCTGGAAGTCCACAGGCACCTAAGTTGACGAGGTTCCCCCACCTGGGGCGAACATCGTCAGTGGCATGTGGATTTTCAGGGTGAAGCGGCCGCCGGGTTCTCCGCCTGTCTTCAAGGCACGTTACGTGGCTCGAGGCTTCAGTCAGCGGCAGGGAGTTGACTACTTTCAGACGTTCTCCCCCACCCCGAAGATGACCACTCTTCGGGTGCTGCTGCACATAGCCGCTCAGTGCGACTACGAGCTTCACTCTCTTGACTTCAGCACTGCTTTCCTACAGGGCAGCCTGCACGAGGAGATCTGGCTGCGCCGCCCACCTGGCTTCACTGGGTCGTTTCCTCCTGGTATCCAGTGGAGCCTCCGGCGGCCAGTCTGCGGTCTCCGACAGGCGCCCCGTGAGTGGCACGACACACTGAGGACTACGCTTGCGGCTCTTGGGTTTGCTCCTTCTACTGCCGACCCGTCGCTGTTTCTACGCACCGACACCTCTTTGCCGCCGTTCTACATCCTCGTGTACGTCGACGACTTGGTCTTTGCTACTGCTGACACTGCTGGACTCGCCCACGTGAAGTCCGAGCTGCAGAAGAGACACACGTGCACAGACCTGGGTGAACTGCGCAGCTACCTTGGCTTGCAGATCACCTAGGACAGAGCACGGCGCACCATTACCCTGACTCAGTCACACATGGTGCAGCAGGTCCTTCAGCGCTTCGACTTCACGTACTCCTCGCCTCAGGCCACTCCTCTGTCTACTCGCCACTCGCTCTCAGCTCTGCCTTCGGATGAGTCCGTAGAGCCGAGTGGCCCGTACCCAGAGCTTGTTGGCTGCCTCATGTACCTGATGACCTGCACTCGTCCTGACCTAGCATACCCTCTTAGCATCTTGGCACGCTATGTTGCTCCTGGGAGACACCGACCAGAGCACATGGCTGCTGCGAAGAGGGTGTTGCGCTACTTGTGCAGCACGTCGGGCATGGGGCTCGTGCTTGGAGGGCGGAGTTCAGTGGTCCTCACTGGTCACGCAGACGCTTCTTGGGCTGACGACTTGGCTACGCAGCGGTCGTCACAGGGTTACACCTTCAGCCTTGGTTCCGGCTCTGTTTCGTGGCGGTCTACCCGCTCGTCTTCTGTTCTCGGCTCCAGCTGTGAGGCCGAGATCTACGCAGGGGCCATGGCTGCACAGGAGTTACGCTGGCTCACCTACCTGCTGACCGACCTGGGAGAGCCGCCTCGTTCTCCTCCAATTCTGTACGTAGACAACAAGGCCATGCTGGCCTTGTGTCGGGAGCACAGACTGGAGCACAGAACGAAGCACATTGCTCTTCGCTACTTCCTTGCTCGTGAGCTGCAGCAGCGTGGTCAACTGCGTCTTGCTTACGTGGCCTCTCAGGCCAACACTGCTGATATCTTTACCAAGGCACTTCAGCCTTGTGATCATCAGCGCTTTTGTACGATGCTAGGTCTTGTGCCTACTTGGCCTCACTTGCTTACTTCTTGACCTTCCTTGTACTGTGATCTATATAAACCTGCTCTTGCTTGTTTACCTTTATATATATGATCCTGCATGTGAACTGGCCTTGTGGCCTTTGAACCGGTGCTCGGAATGTGTGGTGACGTTGTGATCCACCCTGAGCTTGCTTTGCTTGACTGGTCTTGTGACCCCTAGTTCTCCCCCACTTTGCCTATGGGGGTGTGTCAGATATATATGATTTAGTCTATGTAGGCTCTAGTGGGGTAGACACTAAGGGGTACAGGTTTCTAGGGTTTCATATTTGAATCCAACATTTTCCTAGTTCAATCATTCCTCATTCTTCACATGTTTCGCAGAAATCCCCTTGGTGCAAGGTGCACGGTGACGGGGCGCCAAAACAAGTAGTTTTCGGTTTCAGGGTAGACCCCGATACAACACTGACTCGTCAGTGTCCTCAAACACAAAACACTGGAAAATCAGAGTTCGAGATTAAAAAACACTGAAACATCAGAGTTGTTGAAAAAAAAAAGGCTGATGCATCAGGGTCATGATAAAAAACGGAGGTCAAACTTCAGGAATTCAATGTAAAATTCCTGACATCTGAGGCCCTGCCCACAATCCTTTCAATGCAGTCATTCTAGCTTCTAATCTTAACACTTCTCCGTCTTCTACGACAACCAATCTGCAATTCACATAGCGAACAAGAACGGGTTCGCAAACCGAACGAAGCACATTGCCCTGCAATATTTCTTCGTAAAAGACGAGATCGAGAAAGGAAGACTCTGTCAGAATCCCAACCACTAGACCATTGGGATAAAAGGGCTTGTTTCAGTAGCGGGTTAGTGCGCCCATAACCCCCCAGGCTAACAGGCATGTAACCCCCCAAGGATCAATCGAGGATCTCCAGTGCAAGTCTTCTGACACCCCCCCACACTGGGAGGTCCAGGATTCGGCACAGCGGCAACGGCCTGCATGTGCATGCACCGGGATTCGAACCCGAGATCGCTCTGATACCATGTCAAAATCCCAACCACTAGACCATTGGGATAAAAGGGCTTGTTTCAGTAGCGGGTCAGTGCGCCCATGACCCCCCAGGCTAACAGGTCTGTAACCCCCCAAGGATCAATCGGGGATCTCCAGTGCAAGTCTTCTGACAGACTCGAGTTATCCTACTGCCCCACGTCCGAGATGGGAGCAGACTATTGACCAAGAAACTCGGAAAGCAGAAGTTCGAGTACTGTATGCTGCTGACTGAACAAGGCCACGTCACCAGCAACGACACTCCAGAAGCGAAGGGGAGTGTTGGAAACATGTAGTTTGCGCTTCTGATGTGTCGAAGCACTAAATCGTAAGTGAGGCAAACTACAGCGAAGCAACAGCGAGTCAATCGAAGAGGTTAACAAAAGGTAACAGCAAGGAGGTTAAACGAAGCTCAAAGGTCAGCTTTTGCCCGAGTCGCAGCTGTATCGAATCGCAACAGCAACAGCAACAGTTAGTTATGCCTTCTCATATTCCCTGTAATCATATAAAGCCTTGTATTACTTCGCTATAATCAATCTATCTTGCCCTCACACACTAGTGCAAGGTGGTTCAACCAGTTACAACGCTTTAGCAATTACATCAGGTCGAGTCTTAGCCTTGAAACGATCCTAAGGGCTTTCTCAGCCCAACAGATATGACTGAGGGGGGGTGAAATGGGGTACGGGATGGGGTGTCTTGATGGGGTGTGGTGTCCTGACTGGGTGTTTTGATTGGGTATGGCTTTTTATGGATGTTGAGTTTGGGATTTTTTGGCAGTTTTAATTTCCTTCTCCCTTTCCTTCTCCACCTCCCTTCCCTTCTCCTTCATTTATGTCTCTCCTTCCCTTTTTCCTCTTCTAGGATGTGATCATCTTCACCAAACAAGCTCAGACGAGCTGCTGCGAAGGTGGTGCGAGGGCACAGCAGGACCAACGTGACAGTAGCATGTCGTAGTGGCCGTTTTTAGGGACTCCAAGTGGAAAACGGGCATTGCGCGCGCAAGGTTTGGGAAGCGCTAACGTCGAGATTTGCATTTGTAACCGCACGGACGTCGCAGAGGTCCCACGGAGGTCGCACAGAGGTCGCAACGCTGTCACACAGTCGCACGGAGGCCGCACGAAAGGCCGCAGGAAACTCGCAGGGTGTAATGGCGTCGTCGTGGGCTCAGCACGCGCCCATATTCGGCGCGCACTGCAGCCAATTCCTGGTGGAGCAATGTCCGCTTGGCGCGCAGGTCCTAGCTGCGCCATTGTCGCATCAGTCGCAGTCCCCGTCGTTTGCTCATTACCATTCTCGCCAGCAGCACGACTCTGCGACGTTATGGGACGAGAATCCGTCGCTTGATTTATTCGCGGAGAGTGACGTGGCAGCGGAGTTCTTGAACCTTCTGGACGCCATCACGGACGGCTCGCAGTCGGACGGGACTCCCATCGGCAGCACCGATTCACACGATTCACAACAGCATCGCGATACAAACTTATTGCACCAGCAGCACCAGCCGTCGTCGTCCGCACCATTTTCACCTGCCGCCTCCGCCGCCGATCCCGCCACGGCCATCTCCGTTTCCGCCAGCGGTGCTGCTAGCTTATTGGCCGCATCGCCAGGTTCGTTTGGCGATGGTGCTATGACGGCAGCAGCAGCACTGGCAAACCCTGTGTCTCCGCGGCACGGGGAGTCGTTAAACTCGTTGGAGCCGGGGACGATTCACGACGAGGCTGCGGAGTGTACGGCGGGGTTTAACTTCACTGGCGCTCGTCTAGACGACCCCATCGACGCTTTTCTCGGCACCCTGCTGCTCGCGGATCCGGGGTCCGGGAGAGGCGATTTGCTCGTGTCATTGCCTTGCCCGTCCGCCGCTGCGGCTCGCGATCATAGCCCGCCGCTGCACGGCGCGCCGACAGTTAGCCAAGGCGCGGCGGAAATGCGGGAGTGCTGGCGTCCAGACTCGTTGGTAGCACCTCCCGCGTCTACCTCGTGGGCTTCGCTGCCGTTGCACAGGGAAGAGACTCACTCGCCACTGCTGCAGCAGCAGCAGCAGCAGCTTGTGATAACGACGCCAGAAGGGAACGAGGCGTTGCATGAATGGATGCCTTGCGTACCAGCGCATGTGCGACCAGGGGGCCAGGGCGAACCGGCATGTGCGGGGACTGGCTGGAGTGGCAATACAGTGGGGGACGTGGGCATGGGCGGAAGCAAGGCGGGCGGAATGGGCGGTGGGGGAGGCGATGTGCAGCAGGTGCACGATTTGGCGCCCCCTGTGGAGATTTCTGCCGCGGGACTCTTTGGTGGAGCGCGTGTGGAGGGATGCGGTGAGGGAAGTGGGGCGACAAGCAGGGAGCGGCGCGAGGATAGTGCGAGTGGCAATGGCAATGCGATTGCTGATGATGATGCGTTTCGGGATGCTGGTGGTGGTGGTGGTGCTGCTGCTGCTGCTGCTGCTGCTGGTGCATGGGAAGGACAGCAGGTGGGCGAGCTGTTGGGCGCACAGCAGTGGCTTCATAGTCATAATAGCAGTAATAGTAATAGAAGTCATAATAGCAACAACAAAAAAAATCCGCAGCAGCAGCAGCAGGAGCCGCAGCAGCCGCAGCAGCCGCAGGCAGTGGGTGGCAGCACCCCGCGTGTGCGGCAGTTGCCCAATCTGTCAGGGCGACTGGCAGCTCTCATCAGCCAAATAAGCCACACCAGCAACGCCAATGCCAAGGCTAAGGCCAAGGCCAAGGCCAAGCGCAGGGCGGGTCATGACGCTGCAGCAGCAGCAGCAGCAGCAGCAGCAGCAGCTGGCGCAGGGGGAATGATGATGATGCACGAGCAGGCGGGTCTAGCAAATGGCCTGGAGCGTGGCTTGGAGGAGGGAGGGCGAGAGAGCGCGTCGGGCCTGCATGGGCGAGGCACAGGCGGTGGTGATGGGGGAAGGCTCACATGTGGGCGTGGTGGGGGCGGTGGTGTGCAGGAGGCGCATGGCGAGGAGTCAGGCAGCAAGCGGCGGGCAGTGCAGGCGCGAGAAGTGTCGCAGGTCCCACCCTCTGCAGCACTCAGCTCTCAGCACCTTGCTGCTGCCGCTGCAGCACCTTCCTTCCCTCCTAAGCCCACTACTAGCGCTGCTGCTGCTGCTGCAGGAGGCAATGCTGCAGCGGCGCCGTCCCTACCCCACGCGTGGTTACTGCCAGGCTCGGGTCCAGACGGCCTGTCAGGAGAGGTGGACCCGTTTCTCCTCACGGAGCACATCAGCCGCTGCGCGCCTGCTCTCGCCCTCGCCCCTGCCATGCTCAGAGCCCCGCACGACCCCTTTGCCACCCTGCAGCTGCAGCTGCCGTCACTCGCTGCAGTTCCGTACACACGAGCTTCCTCCCAGGCGCTCCCATGTCATTCGGGCAGAGAGGGTGTGTCGGCCTCTCATCCCCTCGCGTACCACTCTCTGCTGCCAACTGCACTGCCCGGTGCTGCGGCCAGCAGCAAATTATTGGGTGGTTTCACATCAGTGAACATGCCCATGCCCATGCCCATGCCTATGCCTATGCCTATGCCTACACCCGTACCCACGTCCATGCCCATGCCCATGCCCATGCCCATGCCCATGCCCATGCCCATGCACATGCCGTTTTACGTGCCTGCGCATGAGGCAATGCCCATGGCAGTGCCCCGGCCTGTGCGTGCGCGCATGCACAAGGGCAAGAGCGATGTGGGCATGGACGAGGTGAGGCAGCTCGTGCTCGCCCTCGCTGAAGCCATCGCCACCGCTGACATGGTCAGTGCCCCCTCCCTCCCTCCCTCCCTCCCTCCCTCCCTCCCTCCCTCCCTCCCTCCCTCCCTCCCTCCCTCCCTCCCTCCCTCCCTCCCTCATCCCCTCTTCCCCTCAGTTCTCTCACCACCGCACACGCTCCCTGCCCCGCACCTTCCCCATCCATTTCAATATGTGTCGTCCTCTTGCGCACCCATTTATATTCTTTCTATTGTATCATCCCATCTTTCCTGTACCGCCTCGACCCCTCCCCTCCCATCAACCCTCATCTCCTCCCTTCCCCATCCACAACACATCTTTCCTAAAGGTCCCAACACCTCGACGCTCGCATTCTCCTTACTCCCCTCATCCCCCCCCCCAACCCTCCCCTCTCCCCCACCCCACACACAGCCGTGCGCCCCTCTCCCTGCAGGACCGGGTGGCAGGGCTGCGGACGCGCATGGCAGCAGCGGCGTGTGCGGAGGGGCGGGCGGGGCAGCGAGTGGCACACTGCTTCCTGGACGCGCTCACCACCCGCCTGCACGGCACTGGCGCCCTCCGCCTCTACAACGCTGCCTTCTCCCAGGTACTCCCACATGCACGCACTGTGCAAGTTACAACCGCCCAGCTCCCATGGCCAAGCGCCAAGTGCACGTGTGGTGTGGTTGCCTTGGTGGGATGTGGTTGGTTGCGGTGGGGTGTGATGTGATGGGGTGCGGTGCTGTGGGGTGCGCTAGCGTGTGGGACGCGCGTGCGATGTGATGGGGCATGGTAGGTTTGGCGCCCATGCACATGTGGTGGGCGTGCCGTGCCTGTCGTTTCCAGGCGGGGCAGCGGAGGTGAATGGTGTGCAGGAGGTACAGAAGGCGAGGGGCGTTTGCAGGTGAGATGTGGGGAAGCTGAGGGGGCTGGGGGGGTGTTATGGCTGTGAAGTTGGGATTGAGGAATCATCAGTTCCTACCCCTCACCAGCCCAACAGGGGAAGACCACTCTGTTGTCACCGCACCACTCACTCCCTACTCGATCTCATATTCGTCCCTTTGCTTCTCCCACCACCACGTGCTCCTCCCATCTACCTGCTCTCTCCCTGTCGCCATGCGCGCTGCCCCCTGCCAGGACATGCTCCAGTCAGTCGCGCCATGTGTACTTCACCACCACGCCCCAACCTTTCGTTCCTTGTCCCACCACGTTCCCCCCCGGTCTCCTCTCTCTCTTCCCCCTTTGCATCTCAGGACATGCTGCAGTCGCGCCAAGTGTATTTCACCACCACGCCCTTCATCCCCTTCCTCTACGCCACCGCCTATTCCGCCATCCTGCAAACCTTCTCCCGCTCCTCTCGCCCCTCCCCTCCCACTGGCACCACCACCACCGCTCGCTATCCTGCGTTCGATCCGTGCGCGCCTCACGACACCCCCGTGTGCTCCCCCGTTACCACACATCCTTCTGCGCCGGGCACCAGCAGCAGCAGCAGCAGCAGCCACTGCAGCGACGGCTCAGGAGAGTTTTCTTGCTCTGGGGAAGCAGCAGCAGCAGCAGGAGTGGGACGAGCAGCGTGTGAAGCAGGAGCGAAGAGCCAAAGGGAAGGCATGCGGAGGGGGGCGCTGCACATAGTCGACTTTGGAGTGTACCTGGGCGGGCAGTGGTCGCTGCTGCTGCGCCGCCTTGCCTGCCTGCCTGGCGGCCCCCCTCGCTGCGTGCGCATCACAACCGTTGATAACTGCCTCCGTGTCAGCCGAGCTGCCAAGCACTGCACACAGCGGTGCACAGCAGGAGCAGCGGCAGAAGCAGGGGCGGGAGCGGGGGAAGCGGCGGGATGCGGAGCAGATGGTGTAGGAGGCAGGGGAGTGGGAGACGTTCAGGTGGAGGAGGTGGGGAATGCGGAGCAGTGCTGGGTGGCAGAGTGTGAGCGGCAGAAGCACGAGGAGCTGGGGAGGATGCTCACAGCTCAGCTCACAGCAGAGGCAGCAGCGCTGGGCATAGAGAGGTTTGAGCACCGCGTGGTGACGATGAACAAGGACAACCTCGCTGATAGCCTCTCCCAGGTGGAGGGCCGGCGCACATGGCAGGGCCGCGGTGGCAGTGGGACAAGGAGGATGCGTGGAGGGGTGCAGGAGGGGGGTCTTGAGGAGTGGCAAGGGGAGGGGTGTGAGGAGGAGGAGGAAGAGGAGAAGGAGGTGGTGGCGGTGTGCTGTTGTTTGGAGCTGCAATACTTCCACGACAGCTCTGTCATGCGTAGCAGCCCTAGAGATGCTGTTCTCAAGGTGCGCTGCCTGCTGCCTGCTTTCAGTGGTTGCATCACTGCGTGTGTGGGGCAGCGGGCCGTGGCACCGCACGATGCTCGCAATGCTGTGTGCTGCACAACAATCCTTGCTGCCCAACCAGCCTCCTTCCCTTTCCGCGGTCGTCTCGTTGTTTCGCATCACATCACCTCTGCCATGGAGGCGCATGTCCTTACGTGAGTTGCATCTCCTCATTTCTCTTCCCTCCCTCCTCCCCTCTACCCCCTCTTGATTGCCCTTGTGTGTTCGTCCCTCCGTCCCGCCAGTGGGTGGCCTCCCTCGCTCCGGACATATTTGCATTCATGGAGACTGACCTCTCTGCCAACGGCCCCTTCTTCCTCTCGCGCCTGCGCAACTGCCTCGACTACCACGCCGCGCTCTTTGAGTGCCACGAGGGCCTCTCTGCATGCCCTGCCCCCAACCACGCGCCCCAGCCAACCAAACTCCACCAGCAGCGCAACCAGCAACCACAGCAGCAGCAGCACCATCTGTCAACCGACGCACAGCCCTTTGCACAAGGCGCGGTGGGCAGTGCTGACACCAGCTGGTCCCAAGTCTGCATGTCCTCTCTCTCACAAGCCACTGAGAAGCCCACACCACCCACCCCTGCGCCTTCCCCCCTCCTCGAAGCTCCCACTCGCCGCGACCACATCCTGGCATTTGAGCGGGCCTTCTTCGGGTACAACATCGTGAACATGGTGGCCACTGAGGGCATGCAGAGGTCGGTGCGCCCGGAGAGCCTGGTGGAGTGGGCGCAGCGCATTCGGCACGCGGGGTTTGTGCCGCTGGCGGTGCCGGCAGACGTGCTGGAGGAGGCGTATGGCACCATCCGCAGCACCCCCCTGGGGCTGGGCATGCTGGCCACAGAGGGCGCAGCGCAGCTCACATGGCATGGCTGCCCGCTGCTCATGTGCACTCTCTGGCAGGTGCCGTGGGTCATGGGTTGAGAGCATGGACCATCTCATGCCATGTCACGCACGGTAGATTTTCCTTGTTTCTATCCTCCTGCACACTTTGTAATTTAGTAATAATGTGAATATTAATAGTAGTAATAGCAGTAAGGGAAATAATAATCAGCAGCACCAGCAGCAGCAGGCAGTGAGTGGCAGCACCCCGCGTGTGCGGCAGTTGCCCAATCTGTCAGGGCGACTGGCAGCTCTCATCAGCCAAATAAGCCACGCCGGAAACGCCAAGGCCAGGGCCAAGCGCAGGGCGGGGCATGACGCTACTGCTGCAGCTGCAGGGCATGCAAGGGCAGCAGGCACGGTGCCCCGGCATGATTTAGCAGGAGGCATGATGATGATGATGCACGAGCAGGCGGGTCTAGCAAATGGCCTGGAGCGTGGCTTGGAGGAGGGAGGGCGAGAGAGCGCGTCGGGCCTGCATGGGCGAGGCACAGGCGGTGGTGATGGGGGAAGGCTCACATGTGGGCGTGGTGGGGGCGGTGGTGTGCAGGAGGCGCATGGCGAGGAGTCAGGCAGCAAGCGGCGGGCAGTGCAGGCGCGAGAAGTGGCCTCGGGGCACACAGCAGAGCAGGTAGCATGCCAGGTGCACACCTCCGCAACATTCAGCTCTCAACACACTGCTGCTCCTCCTACTGCGGCATCTGCCTTTCCTCCTAAGCCCAATACTAATTCTGCAGCAGCGGCGCCGTCCCTACCCGACGCGTGGTTCCTGGCAGGCTTGGGTCCAGACGGCCGGTCACAAGAAATGGATCCGTTCCTGCTCGCACAGCACGTCACCCGCTGCGCGCCTGCTCTCGCCCTCGCCCCCGCCATGCTCGCTGCCCCGCACGACCCTTTTGCCGCCCAGCAGCTGCCCTCTCTCGCCGCGGTTCCGTACACACGAGCTTCCTTGCAGGCGCTCCCAGTTGCGTCGGTCTCTCATCCCGTCGCTTACCACTCACTGCTGCCCTCTTTGCTGCCCGGTGCTGCTGCCACCACCAGACTAGCGGGTGGTTTTGCATCCCCGCCCATGCCTTCGCCCATGCACATGCCTTCGCCCATGCACATGCCTTCGCCCATGCACATGCCCTTTCACGGGCCTGCGCATGAGGCCATGGTCGTGGCAGTGCCCCGGCCTGTGCGTGCGCGCATGCACAAGGGCAAGAGCGATGTGGGCATGGACGAGGTGAGGCAGCTCGTGCTCGCCCTCGCTGAAGCCATCGCCACCGCTGACATGGTCAGTGCCCCCTCCCTGCTCTCTTCTCCCCCACTATCCATCCCTCCCTCCCTCCTTCCCTCCCTCCCTCCCTCCCTCCCTCCCTCCCTCCCTCCCTCCCTCCCTCCCTCCCTCCCTCCCTCCCTCCCTCCCTCCCTCCCTCCCTCCCTCCCTCCCTCCCTCTATCCCTCCGCTCTCTCACCACCCCATTTAATCTATGCTCCGCTCCTGCCCCTTCCTTTTCAATACGTGTCTTCGTGTCTCGCACTGGTCTTCTTTCTATCATATCCTCCTCGTCCCAGCCCCGACTTGGCCCTTTCCCTCTCTCCCCGCCAGCCCAACTCCATACTCGTCCTCCCGCCCTTCCCCCATCCACAACCCATCTACCCCATTTCTCTCAACCACACCCCCTTTTCAAAAGCAAGAAATATCATATCCCTCTCACGCCCCTCACACCACCCCCTCCCCCACCCACGCCCGTGCGCCCCCCTCCCTGTGGCAGGACCGGGTGGCAGGGCTGCGGGCGCGCGTGGCAGCAGCAGCGTGTGCGGAGGGGCGGGCGGGGCAGCGAGTGGCGCACTGCTTCCTGGACGCGCTCACCACCCGCCTGCACGGCACCGGCGCCCTCCGCCTCTACAACGCCGCCTTCACCTCCCAGGTACTCCCCGACACACTCCAGCCTGCTGGGGAATCTCCAAGCGCGCAGCACCAAGTGCCAAGCGTCAAGTGCACGCGTGTGGGCACCTTACTGGGATGCACCTGGCTGCTGTGGTGTGTGTGGCGTGGGGTGCTGCAGGGTGCGGTAGCGTGTGGGACGTGCAGAGGCTGTGCATGTGGCGTGCTAGGTTGGCTCCGCATACACTTGTGGTGGCTGTGTCTGTTAGTATCATCAGGCTGGGCAGCGGGGATGAATGGTGGTGCAGGAGAGGGGTTTGTGCTGTGCTCGTGAGGTACAGGGGATGTTGTGTTTGTGATTCTGGGATGTGTGGCGTCATCACTGCCCCCCTTCTCAACAAACCATCCTTCTTATCTCCCCAGCCCTTCCGCCTCCCCGCCTCATCCCCTCGCCCTCCCCTCCCGCCAATTTTCTGCCAACAACCTTCCACTCGGTTGTCCTCGTTTACCTCTCCTGCCTATCCCTCGCTTTCACCGCGCACAAAAACCTCCCAGTTTTCATTTCACATTCGCCCCATCATCACCCCATCCGTCTACACTCCCCTTCGCCTGCCTCACTTCCTGTTCCAACTCCTGCCATCTCACTCTCTCCCCTTTCTCTCTCCAACCCCTTTCCTTGCAGTTACATGGAACATCACATTGTACCAACGCCCTCAGTTACATACCACGGCTACTCAAAGTGCACTACCATTTTTCAAACATGAATCCCCGACACATGGTTTTTGACATAGGAAGATATCTCACCAACACTCTAGCTGTCTGAAGACCGTCCGCGGTCATGAGAGTCGCCATGTTGTCAAAATCGCTTCCCACCGCCTTCCTGTACAGCATGCGCGGTGGATCGTCGGCCGTCACGAGACACATGGCCTTGCTGGTGCGGGTCAGCGCGGGCTTTATGTTGCGCAAAGCCTGAGTGGTGGATTGTGGGCACGCATGGGAGGAGACTGTTTCGTGACAACTACCGAACACGACGATTCCATGTGTACCTTACCCAAGTACCTCTTATACTACACGATAACGCATTTTGTACCTCTCGCAGGGCCATGTAGTATGTTCTTCCACCGCCTGACAGCGCCGCTATCTCCTGTGTGATCTCACGCTGCGTCTCCTCCTCGACAATTCTCCGTGGTATGTCCTTCCAGTTGCTGCCGCGCACGGGGCCTTTCACGGTGCCCTTGTGTGTATGCTCCCACAGCTCCGTCAAATACTCGTGCGGCAAACCCCTCATGGCTATGCCGTCGATGATGTGCACGACTTCGTGGAGCCTTACGAAGTTCCAATTCGACTTCTGCTTCGGGAAAGCGGCCTGCAGTGCAGCTATCAGCCTACACGTACAAGCAAGCTCATCGTCGTTAGCAGATTGTTCCATCACACCATGGATCAAGATGGCCATGTAGAGTACGAATGGACACGGCGTGCATGTGTACTCACGAGATGCCATGCTGCCTGGCGATAGCGATTGTGACCCTCGTGTGTTTGGTCACGACTAGCAGTGGCTTGTAAAACACCGCGTAGTATCGAAACGCACGGACCTCCGCATCTCGTTTGGCCCGTTCCTCCGCAGAGCACCCCACGCACAGGTCAACAATGACGATCGGGAAAATCTGCATCATGCCATGGTACTCGAAAGCTGCATAATTGGCCCCGCTGCAGAAAACGGTCGAGCCACCCAGGATGCGCACTAGGACACTCCTTGTGTCGCCCTTCACTCCAAACTTGCGGCTGTACCAGGCACCAAGCACACAAATGCAACGCACCGCCCATGTGCTCGTTACCACATCCTCTCGCGTAGTACCGCAAAGATTCAAGGAGAAGGAACATGCGGTTACTCACTGATCAAACACTCTGATCTCGGGTTTGGTCTTTCCCTCCATAAAACACATGGCCATATGTACCAGCACCCCTGAGTCGAGTACATGCAATATGTCGCCCACGCATGCCAAGAACACATTGCCCCACTTTGTCTCCGAGAAGTTCCACCGTTCCAACACTCTCTGTACATCGGATGGTAGTGTCAGTCAAACCCAACGCTCAGCGCGATGCACAACTCTCATGTTCCACGCGAGTTCTCGGTTCAAAAAGTACAATATGCGACACAGGAACGGTGCCCGCGTACCGTGATCGGATGCGTGGACCACCTGGCTTGGGCCGCTGCAGCGTCATCCACCGTTGGGGCGCTCAGTATCTCCGCCGCCGCATGCCGCTCCCTCTTCACCGTGCGCACAATGAACTCGTTTGTCAGGTCATGGAGGTGCTTCCTCTTGATGTAGCAGCTCGAGCACGGTGTGTGTGATGCCTGTTGCATCGTTGCTGTGGCCCGGCACCCTTCGGGATAGTCGCCGACAAATGCATATAGGCATGGATATGCCTTCACCACACCTCTGCGCCCATCCGACACATCGAAGAATCGTAACGGACCACCGCATGCACATTATAACGGATTGCTGCCCATCAGATGCCGACCATGAACCCCATCGCATCATACGGCTAACAACATGCATTCAGAACATTTACTCTCGGCTCTCTCGCATCAACAGACCCGTCACGATGCGATACACCTCATGGTACACTCGAGTCTTCTTTGTCGCCGACGCCCACTCAAGCGGGAAAGGGAGCACCCCCACTAGAGCGTGACCTGGCTCTTGCCATCTTAACTCCTCTGGTATATTGACCAAACCCATCAGCATTGGCCAAGCCTTCAAGCGTCCGTTCCTCGACGCGTACGTGCTGTCACTGTACGATATAACACCCAACACCATTGAATCATCCTCCGGTAGTTCCGCCTGTCAATATAAAAGATTTATCGAAAATGTCAGTCCCACTCTCGCGTTGCCTCATGAGACGCCTGTGAACATAGCTGGTTACTTGCCTGCGCCTCTTCCAGCCAAGTCCCTGTGTCGGGCGTACTGAAATGTCGCATGTCGTTCGTATCCTCTGGATCTCTCCGCGGCCTTTTGACAAACCCCTTCACATTTACATATGTCTTTACGATCTTTTGAGCTATTTGCCTCAGCATTGGCAACGACGAGAGTGTTAGAACCGCATCAACGACTCAGTAGTGCGGCAGGAAATGTATTGCATAAAATACCACACGCTCACCAGCTTGGTGTCCTTGTACAGCAGTTCCAGCATTTGCGACCTTCCTCCGGGCCCCCGCACCTCAATCTCAGCCTTGAGCCACGGCAACATGTCGTCCGGCGCGTGTTCATCCCCATACCGCCTCACGTCCGCGACGTTCTGCTAGCGACGAGCCGCTGCAGGATCGTACCCCTTGTGGTTGAAGATGTGCAGAATTCGATTTATTTCTCTGTCTGACATATCAGCGTCCTTGAAGAACAGGTACAGCTCATTCAGTGTATTGAACAACTCGCCAACTCTGGAAACGGATCCATCGTCCGACGACGACACATGCCCGCGCACCAGGTCCGCGTGTTCAGGTGACTCTCTCAGATATCGGAACAGCGAGTCTGCAGAGTGCGGGCTACCCGAGACAGACTCACTATCGGAATGCTGCGGGCCATTCCGGACCGCGGCCAATGCCTCCGCCAACGCCTCCACTGCCCGACTCTCCAACCTCTCGAGCAGCGTGTCCCTGCACGTGTCATTGCGGTACAGATGGATCCTCAGTAAGTTGTCCGACTCAAGCTCGTGGCCACATGCCCCACACTTGTTCCCTGACATTAGTTTTAATCTACGCCCCCGACATTACCATAAGGCCGTTCCCCGACTACCCATCACGTCCCACCGTATCTACCGATCTGTCAGGCACGTGTTGAAGTTAGGTGAGTGGCAGCCATAGCTAGTGAGTGAAGTAACGAGAAGGAAAAGTTGCACTAGAGAAAGTGTCGAGAGACATTTGAAAGTTAGGGTTGGGAAACCCCAACTGAACCTAAGGCGTGTTCAGTGCAGAGGCAAACTGCAAAGTGAACCTAAGATGAACCAGAAATGAAACTAAGTCTAAAAGTGGCCGAAAAAATAATATAAGGCCAAAATGAAATGCAGAGCAAACACTAGCCTACTCCAACAGCACGCTCTCCGCTACACGCATTACAACCTATAAGCACTTGACTGACTAACACTCCGTTTCCATTCCCGGTCATCTCCTTCTTTACTCCTAGCGCAACGCCCGGCGTTCTCATACGTCTCGTCACGCTATCGCCCGTTTGTATCATTCGTCAACCTCCTACGTCACCCCACTCGCACCTATGGTATAGTGGCGCTTTGAAGCCATCGTGTACGAACAATGCGCGGGTCTGGATGGTGAGGATGTTAGCCGTAATTCGAAAACCTGACCACCTCAAAGGCCGACCTAAGAAACACCGGAAACCAACAAGCACTTGTTCCGTCTAGTTTCGATTGTACCAGGATCGTGAGAGTATCCTCGCTACAGCGAACATGTACGCATGTATGTGTCACTCGTTAAGAATCGGGTACATCCGAAACAATTGTATGCAGTTTACGACCTGGATAATCATAACAATATTGCCAATTTCATACAATCCTCTTTCGCGTACAACCCAATTGATATTAATGCATTCTGAACCCGATGTCCCACTATTCGAACATGTCCACCACAGCACATATTGCCACAACATGGTCTACTTTCAAACTCATGCTACGATGTCGCGGCATGAGACGGTCAAGAACATCCAGGAGAAGCAACACTCCATCGGTATTAGTGGGCCTTGAACCACCTGCCACATCGCCACGTTGACAACTTGTGAGGCAAATTGAAGCATCGCTTCCGACATGCAACATGGTGCATCTTACCTTCTGAGTCATCGACGTTAGTACGACTGCGCCTCATGCGGCGCCGCTGATACTCGTTGGTACGTTCCTCCGGGCCTCCTAAGAGTCAGGCACGCAACGTGGAGTACTGCAACGTCAATAACGTGCTGTAATTGCTCAAATAAAAGCAACATACCGTCAAACCAGTTGTTCTGTAATGTTCGCACCTGTGCGTGAGTGAACTTGCACAGTCGGAGTAGCAGCGCTAGACACGCAAGCACCAGGAGCCGCGTCTGCCGAGCTCGACATGGCGTTAGTTGGAGGATCAGAATCTTCCTTATCACCTGGTAGTGTATTCGCGTCGCCCCTGTTACCCCCGAAAAAGAAGTCGAACAAATCGTTCACACGGTTGGAACCATCGTGTGTCGCGGCCGGGGGATGTCCACTCTCCGCGCCGGCGTCTGTTTGTGCAACCGTCTGCGCTTCAGGATGATAAGGTGCTGTGTGGGCCGCATTTTCATCCCACGCGCCTCCCATCGTGGGCTT